TGGTGTTATGGTTGACCATTTTGAAGGGGAGGTTGTGGATGCCAAAGTTGTTGTTGCATCAGTAGTTGTTGTGGTTTCAGGCAGAGTTGTTGTTGGTCCATCAGTTGTCGGTGTTGGTACTGCAGCTGAGGATGTTGGAGGGCTGTTTTTGGAAATCAAAGTTGTTGTTGCATCAATAGTTGTTGTGGTGTAAGGCATACTTGTGGTTGCTGCATCAGATGTTTTTGACGTTTGTGCCACAGTTGAGGATATTGAAAAGGTGACTGTAGCAGCCAAAGTTGTTGTTGCATCAGTAGTTGTTGTGATCTCAGGCAGAGTTGTGGTTGATGCATCAGTTGTTGACACTGGTGCTATAGTTGAGGATGTTGAAAGGGCGGTTGTGGAAGCCAAAGTTGTTGTGGTGTAAGTCAGAGTTGTTGATGGTCCATCAGTTGTCGAAGTTGGTACTGCAGCTGAGGATGTTGGAGGGGTGATTGTGGAAGTTAAAGTCATTGGTGCATCAATAGTTGTTGTGATGTCATGCATATTTGTGTTTGCTGCATAAGATGCTGTTGACGTGGGTGCCGCAGTTGAGGATGTTGGAAAGGTGGTTGTGGTAGTCAGAGTTGTTGCATCAGTAGTTGTTGTGATGTAAAGCAGAGCTTTGGTTGATGCATCAGTTCTTGACACTGGTGCTATAGTTGAGGATGTTGAAGGGACGGTTGTGGAATCCAAAGATGTTGTTGCATCACTAGTTTTTGTGGCGTCAGGCATAGTTGTTGTTGGTCCATTAGTTGTTGATGTTGGTTCAGTACTTGAGGATGTTGGAGCAGTGGTTGTGAAAGCCAAAGTTGTTGTTGCATCAGTAGTTGTGGTCTCAGGCACAGTTGTTATTGATGCATCAGTTGTTGATACTGGTGCTATTGTTGAGGATGTTTGAGGGGTGGTTGTGGAAGACAAAGTTGTTGTTGCATCAGTTGTTGTTCTGGTGTCAGTCAGAGTTGTCATTGCTGCATCAGTTGTTGATGCCGGTGCTATAGTTGAGGATGTTTGAGGTGTGGGTGTGGTAGCCAAAGCTGTTGTTTCATCAGTAGTTGTTGTTGTGGAGACAGACAGAGTTGTAGTTGTTGAATCAGTTGTTGATGTCAGAGGAGTGGCTGTGGAAACCACAGTTGTTGTTGCATCAGTATTTTTTGTGGTATCAGGCATAGTTGTTTTTGGTTCATTAGTCGTCGATGTTGGTACTGTAGCTGAGGATGTAGGTGGGGTGGTTGTGGAAGTCAAAGTTGTTGTTGCATCAGCAGTTGTTGTGCTGTCAGACAGAGTTGTGGTTGATGCATCAGTTGTTGACACTGATACTATAATTGAGGATGTTGAAAGGGTGGTTTTGATAGCTAATGCTGTTGTTGCATCAGTACTTGTTGTGCTGTCAGGCACAATTGTGGTTGCTGCATCAGTTGTTGACACTGGTGCTACAGTTGAGGATGTTTCAGGAGTGATTGTGGAAGCCAAAGTTGTTGTTGCATTAATAGTAGTTGTGGTTCCAGAGAGAGCTGTTGTTGCTGCATCAGTTGTTGTTGACATTGGTGCCACAGTTGATGATGTTGAAAGGGTGGGTGTGCTGGCTAATGTTGCTGTTGAATCAATACTTGTGATGTCTGGCCTAGCTGTGGTTGCTGCATCTGATGTTCTCGATGTTGCTGCTATAGTTGAGGATGCTGGTTGTGTGGTTGTGGAAACCAAAGTTGTTGTTGCATCGGTGGTTGTTGTGGTGTCAGGCACAGTTTTGGTTGATGCATCAATTGTTAATATTATAGGGGTGGTTGTGGAATCCAAAGTTATTGTTGTATCAGTAATTGTTGTGATGTCAGTCACAGTTGTGGTTGATGCATCAGTTGTTGATGCTGGTGCTATTTGTGAGGATCTTTGAGGGGTGGTTGTGGAAGCCAAAATTATTATTGAATCAGTAGCTGTTGTGGTGTCGGACAGAGTTGTGGCTGATGCATCAGTTGTTGATGTTAGTGGGGTGGTTGTGGAATCCAAAGTTGTTGTTTCATCATTCGTTTCTGTGGTGTCAGGCATAGGTGTTGTTTTTCGATTAGTTCTTGATGTTGGCACTGTAGCTGAAGATATTGGAGGGGTGGTTGTGGAAGTCAAAGTTGTTGTTGCATCAATTGCTATTGTGGTGTCAGACAGAGTTGTGGTTGCTGCATCAGTTGTTGATGCTGGTGCTATAGTTGAGGATGTTGGAGCAGTGATTGTGAAAGCCAAAGCTGTTGTTGCATCAGTAGTTGTTGCGGTGTCAGACAGAGTTGTGCTTGATGCATCAGTTGTTGATGCTGATGCTATTGTTGAGGATGTTTGTGGGGCAGTTACGGAAGCCAAAGTTGTTGTTGCGTCATTAGTTTTTGTGGTGTCAGGCATAGTTGTTGTTGGTTCATTTGTCGTCGATGTTGGTACTGTAGCTGAGGATGTTGGAGGGGTGGTTGTGGAAGTCAAAGTTGTTGTTGCATCAATAGTTGTTGTGGTGTCAGGCATACTCGTGGTTGCTGCATCAGATGTTGTTGACACTGTTGCTACAGTTGAGGATGTTTGAGGGGTGGTTGTGGAAGCCAAAGCTGTTGTTTCATCCCTGTAGCTGAAGATATTGGAGGGGTGGTTGTGAAAGCCAAAGTTGTTGTTGCATCAGTAGTTGTTGTGGTGTCAGGCACAGTTGTGGTGGAAGCATCAGTTTTTGATGCTGGTGCTTTTTTTGAAGATTTATGAGGGGTGGTAGTGGAAGCCAACATTGTTTTTGCATCAGTAGTTGTTTTGGTGTCAGACAGAGTTGTGGTTGTTGAATCAGTTGTTGATGATAGTGGGGTGGCTGTGGAATCCAAAGTTTTTGTTGCATCACTAGTATTTGTGGTGTCAGGCATAGTTGTTGTTGGTTCACTACTCGTCGATGTTGGTACTGTAGCTGAGGATGTTGGAGGGGTGGTTGTGGAAGGCAAAGTTGTTGTTGCATCAATAGTTGTTGTGGTGTCAGGCAGACTTGTGGTTGCTGCATCTGATGTTGTTGACACTGGTGCTAAAGTTGAGGATGTTGTAGGGGAGGTTATGGAAGCCAAAGCTGTTGTTACATCAGAAGTTGTTGTGCTGTCAGACAGAGCTGTGGTTGATGCATCAGTTGTTGATGCAGATGCTATAGATGAGGATGTTTGAGGGGTGGTTCTGGAAGCCAACGTTTTTGTTGTATCAGTAGTTGTTGTGGTGTCAGACAGAGTTGTGATGTGTTGTGGTGATATAGTTAAGGATGTTGGAGGGGTGGTTGTGGAAGTCAACGTAGTTGTTGCATCAATTGTTATTGTGGTGTCAGACAGAGTTGTGGTTGATGCATCAGTTGTTGATGTTATAGGGGTGGAAGTGTAATCCAAAGTTGTTGTTGCATCACTAGTTTCTGTAGTGTCAGGCATTGTTGTTGTTGGTCCATTAGTTGTTGATGTTGGTACTGTAGCTGAAGATGTTGGAGGGGTGATTGTGGAAGTCAAAGTCTTTGTTACATCAATTGTTTTTGTGGTGTCAGACAGAGTTGTTTTTGCTGCATCAGTTGTTGACGCTGGTGCTATAGTTGAGGATGTTGAAGCAGTGGTTGTGAAAGCGAAAGTTGTTGTTGCATCAGTAGTCGTTGTGGTGTCAGACAGAGTTGTGGTTGTTGTATCAGTTGTTGATGTTAGAGGGGTGGCTGAGGAATTCAAAGTTGTTTTTGCATCAGTAGTTTTTGTGGTGTCAGGCATAGTTGTGGTTGCTGCACTGGTGCTATAGTTGAGGATGTTGGAGGGGTGGTTGTGGAAGTCAAAGTTGTTGTTGCATCAGTAATTGTTTTGGTGTCAGGCATTCTTGTGGTTGCTGCATCTGATGTTGTTGACACTGGTGCTATAATCGAGGGTGTTGAACGGGTGGTTGTGATAGCTAATGCTGTTGTTGCTTCAATAGTTTTTGTGGTGTCCGACAGAGTTGTGGTTGCTGCATCAGTTGTTGACGCTGGTGCTATAGTTGAGGATGTTGGAGCAGTGGTTGTGAAAATCAAAGTTGTTGTTGAATCTGTAGTTGTTGTGCTGTCAGGCACAGTTGTGGTTGATGCATCAGTTGTTGATGCTGGTGATATTGTTGAGGATGTTTGAGGTGTGGTTGTGGAAGCCAAAGCTGTTGTTGGATCAGTAGTTGTTGTGGTGTCAGACAGAGTTGTGGTTGTTGTATCAGTTGTTGATGTTAGAGGGGTGGCTGAGGAATTCAAAGTTGTTTTTGCATCAGTAGTTTTTGTGGTGTCAGGCATAGTTGTGGTTGCTGCATCAGTTGTTGATGCTGGTGCTACAGTTGAGGATGTTGGAGGGGTGGTTGTGGAAGTCAAAGTTGTTGTTGTATCAATTGTTGTTGTGGTGACAGACAGAGTTGTCATTGCTACATCAGTTGTTGATGCTGGTGCTATAGTTGAAGATGCTTGAGGTGTGGGTGTGGTAGCCAAAGCTGTTGTTGCATCAGTAGTTGTTGTGGTGTCAGACACAGTTGTGGTTGTTGCATAAGTTGTTAACACTGGTGCGTCAGTTGAGGATGTTGTAGGAGAGATTGTGGAAGACAAAATTGTTGTGGTTCCAGAGAGAGTTGTTGTTGCTGCAGCAGTTGTTGTTGACATTGATGCTGTCAGACAGAGCTGTGGTTGATGCATAAATTGTTGACACTGATTCTATAATTGAGGATGTTGAAAGGGTGGTTGTGATAGCTAATGCTGTTGTTGCATCAGTATTTGTTGACGTGTCAGGCAGAGTTGTGGTTGGTGAATCAGATGTTCTTGAAGTTGGTGCTACGGTCAAAGATCTTGGAAGGTTGGTTGTGGAAGTCACAGTCATTGTTGCATCGATTTTTGTTGTGGTGTCAGACAGAGTTGTGTTTGCTGCATCAGTTGTTGATGCTGGTGCTATAGTTGAGGATGTTGGAGGGGTGGTTGTGGAAGTCAAAGTTGTTGTTGCATCAATTGATGTTGTGGTGTCAGACAGATTTGTGGTTGCTGCATCAGTTGTTGATGCTGGTGCTATAGTTAAGGATGTTGGAGGGGTGGTTGTGAAAGCCAAAGTTGTTGTTGCATCAGTAGTTGTTGTGGTGTCAGGCACAGTTGTGGTGGAAGCATCAGTTGTTGATGCTGGTGCTATTGTTGAAGATTTATGAGGGGTGGTTGTGGAAGCCAACGTTGTTGTTGCATCAGTAGTTGTTTTGGTGTCAGACATAGTTGTGGTTGTTGAATCAGTTGTTGATGATAGAGGGGTGGCTGTGGAATCCAAAGTTTTTGTTGCATCACTAGTATTTGTGGTGTCAGGCATAGTTGTTGTTGGTTCACTAGTCGTCGATGTTGGTACTCTAGCTGAGGATGTTGGAGGGGTGGTTGTGGAAGGCAAAGTTGTTGTTGAATCAATAGTTGTTGTGGTGTCAGGCGTACTTGTGGTTGCTTCATCAGATGTTGTTAACACTAGTGCAATAGTTGAGGATTTTGTAGGGGAGGCTGTGGATGCCAAAGTTGTTGTTGCATCAGTAGTTGTTGTGCTGTCAGACAGAGCTGTGGCTGATGCATCAGTTGTGGATGCTGGTGCTATTGTTAAGGATGTTTGAGGGGTGGTTGTGGAAGGCAAATTTGTTGTTGCATCAGTAGTTGTTGTGGTGACAGACAGAGTTGTGGTTGTTGAATCAGTTGTTGATGATAGATAGGTGGCTGTGGAACCCAAAGTTGTTGTTGCATCACTAGTTTTTGTGGTGTCAGGCATAGTTGTTGTTGCTGCATCAGTTGTTGATGCTGTTGCTACAGTTGAGGATGTTGGAGCGGTGGTTGTGGAAGTCAAAGTTGTTGTTGCTTCAGTATTTGATGTGGTGTCAGGCATACTTGTGGTTTCTGCATCTGATGTTGTAGACACTGTTGCTATAGTTGAGGATGGTGTAGGGGAGGTTGTGGATGCCAAAGTTGTTGTTGCATCAGTAGTTGTTGTGCTGTCAGACAGAGCTGTGGCTGATGCATCAGTTGTGGATGCTGGTGCTATTGTTAAGGATGTTTGAGGGGTGGTTGTGGAAGGCAAATTTGTTGTTGCATCAGTAGTTGTTGTGGTGACAGACAGAGTTGTGGTTGTTGAATCAGTTGTTGATGATAGATAGGTGGCTGTGGAACCCAAAGTTGTTGTTGCATCACTAGTTTTTGTGGTGTCAGGCATAGTTGTTGGTTCATTATTCTTCGATATTGATACTTTAACACTAGTGCAATAGTTGAGGATTTTGTAGGGGAGGCTGTGGATGCCAAAGTTGTTGTTGCATCAGTAGTTGTTGTGGTGACAGACAGAGTTGTGGTTGTTGAATCAGTTGTTGATGATAGATAGGTGGCTGTGGAACCCAAAGTTGTTGTTGCATCACTAGTTTTTGTGGTGTCAGGCATAGTTGTTGGTTCATTAGTCTTCGATATTGATACTGTAGCTGGGGATGTTGGAGGGATGGTTGTGGAAGTCAAAGTTGTTGTTGCATCAATAGTTGTTGTGGTGTCAGGCAGACTAGTGGTTGCTGCATCTGATGTTGTTGACACTGGTGCTAAAGTTGAGGATGTTGTAGGGGAGCTTATGGAAGCCAAAGCTGTTGTTGCATTAGAAGTTGTTGTGCTGTCAGACAGAGTTGTGCTTGATGCATCAGTTGTTGATGCTGATGCTATTGTTGAGGATGTTTGTGGGGTGGCTGCGGAACCCAAAGTTGTTGTTGCGTCATTAGTTTTTGTGGTGTCAGGCATAGTTGTTGTTGGTTCATTTGTCGTCGATGTTGGTCTTGTAGCAGAGGATGTTGGAGGAGTGGTTGTTGAAGTCAAAGTTGTTGTTGCATCAATAGTTGTTGTGGTGTCAGGCATACTTGTGGTTGCTGCATCGGATGTTGTTGACACTGTTGCTACAGTTGAGGATGTTGTAGGGGAGCTTGTGGATGCCAAAGTTGTTGTTGTGTCAGTAGTTGTTGTGGTGTCAGAAAGAGTTGTAGTTGATGCATCAGTTGCTGATGTTAGATGGGTGGTTGTGGAATCCAAAGTTGTTGTTGCATCACTAGATTCTGCGGTGTCAGGCATAGTTGTTGTTGATGTATTAGTTGTTGATGTTGGTACAGTAGCTGAAGATATTTGAGGGGTTGTGGTGGAAGTCAAAGTTGTTGTTGCACGAACTGTTGTTGTGGTGTCAGACAGAGCTGTGGTTGCTGCATCTGTTGCTGATGCTGGTTCTATAGTTGAGGATGTTGGAGCAGTGGTTGTGAAATCCAAAGTTGTTGTTGCATCAATAGTTGTTATGGTGTTAGTCACAGTTGTGGTTGATGCATCAGTTGTTGATGCTGGTGCTATTGTTGAGGATGTTTGAGGGGCGGTTGTGGAAGCCAAAGCTGTTGATTCATCAGTAGCTGTTGTGGTGTTAGACAGAGTTGTGGTTGTTGTATCAGTTGTTGATGTTAGAGGGGTGGCTGTGGAATTCAAAGTTGTTTTTGCATCAGGAGTTTTTGTGGTGTCAGGCATACTTGTGGTTGCTGCATCAGTTGTTGATGCTGGTGCTATAGTTGAGGATGTTGGAGGGGTGGTTGTGGAAGTCAAAGTTGTTGTTGTATCAATTGTTGCTGTGGTGACAGACAGAGTTGTCATTGCTGCATCAGTTGTTGATGCTGGTGCTATAGTTGAAGATGCTTGAGGTGAGGGTGTGGTAGCCAAAGGTATTGTTGCATCAGTAGTTGTTGTGGTGTCAGACACAGTTGTATCAGTTGTTGATGCTGGCGCTATTGTTGAGGTAGTTTGAGGGGTGGTGGTGGAAGCCAAAGTTGTTTTTGCATCAGTAGTTTTTGTGGTGTCAGGCATAGTTGTTGTTGGTTCATTAGTCGACGATGTTGATACTGTAGCTGAGGATGTTGGATGGGTGGTTGTGGAATCCAAAGTTGTTGTTGCATCACTAGTTTCTGTGGTGTCAGGCATAGTTGTTGTTGGTATATTAGTTGATGATGTTGGTACTGTAGCTGAAGATTTTGGAGGGGTGGTTGCAGATGTCAAAGTCATTGTTGCATCAATTGATGTTGTGGTGTCAGGCACAGTTGTGGTTGATGCATCAGTTGTTGATGCTGGTGCTATTGTGGAGGATGTTTGAGGGGTGGTTGTGGAAGCCAAATCTGTTATTGAATGAGTAGTTGTTGTGGTGTCAGACAGAGTTGTGTTTGTTGCATCAGTTGTTGATGTTAGAGGGGTGGGTGTGGAATCCAAAGTTGTTGTTGCATCAGTAGTTTTTGTGTTGTCAGGCACAGTTGTTGTTGGTTCATTAGTCGTCGATGTTGGTACTGTAGCTGAGGATGTTGGAGCGGTGTTTGTGGAAGTCAAAGTTGTCAAAGTTGTTGTTGCATCACTAGTTTCTGTGGTGTCAGGCATGGTTGTTGTTGGTCCATTAGTTGTTGATGTTGGTCCTGTAGCTGAAAATGTTGGAGGGGTTGTTGTGGAAGTCAAAGTCATTGTTGCATCAATTGTTGACACTGATGCTATAATTGAGGATGTTGAAAGGGTGGTTTTTATAGCTAATGCTGTTGTTAAATCAGTAGTTGTTGAAGTGTCAGGCAGAGTTGTTGTTGGTGAATCAGATGTTGTTGAAGTTGGTGCTACAGTCAAAGATGTTGGAAGGTTGGTTGAGGAAGTCACAGTCATTTTTGCATCAATTTTTGTTGTAGTGTCAGACAGAGTTGTGGTTGCTGCATCAGTTGTTGACGCTGGTGCTATAGTTGAGGATGTTGGAGGGGTGGTTGTGGAAGCCAAAGTTGTTGTTGCATCAATTGTTTTTGTGGTGTCAGGCATAGTTGTTGTTGGTTCATTAGTCATCGATGTTGGTACTGTAGCTGAAGACGTTGGAGGGGTGGATGAGGAAGTCAAAGTTGTTGTTGTATCAGTAGTGGTTGTGGTGTCAGGCATACTTGTAGTTGCTGTATCTGATGTTGTTGACACTGGTGCTATAGTTGAGGATGTTGTAGGGGAGATTGTGGATGCCAAAGTTGTTGTTGCATCAGTAGATGATGTGCTGTCAGACAGAGTTGTAGTTGATGCATCAGTTGTGGATGCTGGTGCTATTGTTGAGGATGTTTGAGGGGTGGTTGGGGAAGCCAAAGTTGTTGTTGCATCAGTAGTTGTTATGGTGACAGACAGAGTTGTGGTTGATGCATCAGTTGTTGATGCTGGTGCTATTGTTGAGGATATTTGTGGGGTGGTTGTGGAAGCCAAAGTTGTTGTTGCATCAGTAGTTTTTGTGGTGTCAGTCATAGTTGTTGTTGGTTCATTAGTCATAGATGTTGGTACTGTAGCTGAGGATGTTGGAAGGGTGGTTGTGGAAGTCAAAGTCATTGTTGCATCAATTGTTGTAGTGGTGTCAGACAGAATTGTGGATGCTGCATCAGTTGTTGATGATAGAGGGGTGGCTATGGAATCCAAAGTAGTTGTTGCATCAGTAATTTCTGTCGTGTCAGGCATAGTTGTTGTTAGTCCATTAGTTGTTGATGTTAGAGGGATGGTTGTGGAATCTAAAATTGTTGTTGCATCAGTAGTTTCTGTGATGTCAGGCATAGTTGTTGTTGATGCATCAGTTGTTGATGTTAGAGGGGTGGTTGTGGAATCTAAAATTGTTGTTGCATCAGTAGTTTCAGTGGTGTCAGGCATAGTTGTTGTTGGTTCGTTAGTCTTCGATGTTGGTACTGTAGCTGAGGAGGTTGGAGGGGTGGTTGTGGAAGTCAAAGTTGTTGTTGTATCAGTAGTTGTTGTGCTGTCAGACAGAGTTGTGGTTGATGCATCAGTTGTTGATGCTGGTGCTATAGATGAGGATGTTTGAGGGGTGGTTGTGGAAGCCAAAGTTGTAGTTGCATCAGTAATTTCTGTGATGTCAGGCACAGTTGTTGTTGCTGCATCAGTTGTTGATGTTAGAGGGGTGGTTGTGGAATCTAAAGTTGTTGTTGCATCAGTAGTTTCTGTGGTGTCAGGCATAGTTGTTGTTCGGTCATTAGTCGTCGATGTTGGTACTGTAGCTGAGGATGTTGGAGGGGTGGTTGTGGAAGTCAAAGTTGTTGTTGCATCAATAGTTGTTGTGGTGTCAGGCATACTTGTGGTTGTTGCGTCTGATGTTGTTGACACTGGTGCTATAGTTGAGGATGTTGTAGGGAATGTTGTGGATGACAAAATTGTTGCTGCATCAGTAGTTGTTGTGCTCTCAAAAAGTGATGTGGTTAATACATCAGTTGTTGATGCTGGTGCTATTGTTGAGGGTGGATGGTTGTGGAAGTCAAAGTTGTTGTTGCATCAATAGTTGTTGTGGTGTCAGGCATAGTTGTTGTTGGTTCATTAGTCGACGATGTTGGTACTGTAGCTGAGAATGTTGGATGGGTGGTTGTCGAATCCAAAGTTGTTGTTGCATCACTAGTTTCTGTGGTGTCAGGCATAGTTGTTGTTGGTATATTAGTTGATGATGTTGGTACTGTAGCTGAAGATTTTGGAGGGGTGGTTGCAGATGTCAAAGTCATTGTTGCATCAATTGATGTTGTGGTGTCAGGCACAGTTGTGGTTGATGCATCAGTTGTTGATGCAGATGATATAGATGAGGATGTTTGAGGGGTGGTTCTGGAAGCCAAAGTTGTTGTTGTATCGGTAGTTGTTGTGGTGTCAGACAGAGTTATAGTTGATGCATCAGTTGTTGATGTTAGAGGGGTGGTTGTGGAATCCAAAGTTGTTGTTGCATCACTAAATTCTGTGGTGTCAGGCATAGTTGTTGTTGATGTATTAGTTGTTGTTGTTGGTACAGTAGATGAAGATGTTTGAGGGGTGGTGGTGGAAGCCAAAGTTGTTGTTGTATCAGTAGTTGTTGTGCTGTCAGACAGAGTTGTGTTTGTTGAATCAGTTTTTGATGATAGATAGGTGGCTGTTGTTGTTGAAGTCAAAGTTGTTGCATCAATTGTTTTTGTGGTGTCAGACAGAGTTATGGTTGCTGCATCAGTTGTTGATGCTGGTGCTATAGTTGAGAATGTTGGAGGGGTGGTTGTGGAATTCAAAGTTCTTGTTGCACCAATTGTTGTTGTGGTGTCAGACAGAGCTGTGGTTGTTGCATCAGTTGTTGATGCTGGTGCTATTGTTGAGGATATTTGAGGGGTGGTTGTGGAAGCCAAAGCTGTTGTTTCATCAGTAGCTGTTGTGGTGTCAGACAGAGTTGTGATGTGTTGTGGTGATATAGTTAAGGATGTTGGAGGGGTGGTTGTTGAAGTCAAAGTTGTTGTTGCATCAATTGTTGTTGTGGTGTCAGACAGAGTTGTGGTTGATGCATCAGTTGTTGATGATGCTGCAGTTGTTAAGGATGTTTGAGGGGTGGTTTTGCCAAAGTTGTTGTTGCATCACTAGTTTCTGTGGTGTCAGGCATTGTTGTTGTTGGTCCATTAGTTGTTGATGTTGGTACTGTAGCTGAAGATGTTGGAGGGGTGATTGTGGAAGTCAAAGTCTTTGTTACATCAATTGTTTTTGTGGTGTCAGACAGAGTTGTGGTTGCTGCATCAGTTGTTGACGCTGGTGCTACAGTTGAGGATGTTGGAGGGGTGGTTGTGGAAGTCAAAGTTGTTGTTCTATCAATTGTTGTTGTGGTGACAGACAGAGTTGTCATTGCTGCATCAGTTGTTGATGCTGGTGCTATAGTTGTAGATGCTTGAGGTGTGGGTGTGGTAGCCAAAACTGTTGTTGCATCAGTAGGTGTTCTGGTGTCAGACACAGTTGTGGTTGTTGCATAAGTTGTTAACACTGGTGCTTCCGTTGAGGATGCTGTAGGAGAGATTGTGGAAGACAAAGTTGTTGTTGCATCAATATTTGTTGTGGTTCCAGAGAGAGTTGTTGTTGCTGCATGAGTTGTTGTTGACATTAGTGCCACAGTTGAAGATGTTGAAAGGGTGGTTGTGGTGGCAAATGTTGCTGTTACATCAATACTTGCTGTTGCATCAATACTTGTTGTGGTGTCTGGCATAGTTGTGGTTGATGAATCAGTTGTTGATGCTGGTGCTATTGTTGAGGGTGCTTGAGGGGTGGTTGTGGAAACCAAAGTTGTTGTTGCATCAGTAGTTGTTGAGGTGTCAGTCAGAGTTGTAGTTGATGCATCAGTTGGTGATGTTAGAGGGGTGGTTGTGGAACCCAAAGTTGTTGTTGCATCACTAGTTTCTGTGGAGTCAGGCATGGTTGTTGTTGGTCCATTGATTGTTGACGTTGGTCCTGTAGCTGAAGATATTGGAGGGGTGGTTGTGAAAGCCAAAGTTGTTGTTGCATCAGTAGTTGTTGTGGTGTCAGGCACAGTTGTGGTGGAAGCATCAGTTGCTGATGCTGGTGCTATTGTTGAAGATTTATGAGGGGTGGTTGTGGCAGCCAACGTTGTTGTTGCATCAGTAGTTGTTTTGGTGTCAGACATAGTTGTGGTTGCTGAATCAGTTGTTGATGATAGAGGGGTGGCTGTGGAATCCAAAGTTTTTGTTGCATCACTAGTATTTGTGGTGTCAGGCATAGTTGTTGTTGGTTCACTACTCGTCGATGTTGGTACTGTAGCTGAGGATGTTGGAGGGGTGGTTGTGGAAGGCAAAGTTGTTGTTGCATCAATAGTTTTTGTGGTGTCAGGCGTACTTGTGGTTGCTTCATCAGATGTTATTAACACTAGTGCAATAGTTGAGGATTTTGTAGGGGAAGTTGTTGCATCAATTGTTGTTGTGGTGTCAGACAAAGTTGTGGTTGATGCATCAGTTTTTGATGCTGGTGCTATAGTTGAGGATGATTGAGGGGTGGCTGTGGAAGTGAAAGTTGTTGTTGCATCAGTAGTTTTTCTGCTGTCAGACAGAGTTGTGGTTGATGCATCAGTTGTGGATGCTGGTGCTATTGTTAAGGATGTTTGAGGGCTGGTTCTGGAAGGCAAATTTCTTGTTGCATCAGTAGTTTTTGTGGTGACAGACAGAGTTTTGGTGTCAGACAGAGTTATGGTTGTTGAATCAGTTCTTGGAGCGGTGTTTGTGGAAGTCAAAGTTGTTGTTGCATCAATACTTGTTGTGATGTCTGGCATAGTTGTGGTTGATGAATCAGTTGTTGATGCTGGTGCTATTGTTGAGGGTGTTTGAGGGGTGGTTGTGGAAGCCAAAGTTGTTGTTGCATCAGTAGTTGTTGAGGTGTCAGTCAGAGTTGTGGTTGATGCATCAGTTGGTGATGCTGGTTCTATAGTTGAGGATGTTGGAGCAGTGCTTGCGAAAGCCAAAGTTGTTGTTGCATCAATAGTTGTTGTGGTGTTAGACATTGTGGTGTCAGACAAAGTTGTGGTTGATGCATCAGTTTTTGATGCTGGTGCTATAGTTGAGGATGATTGAGGGGTGGCTGTGGAAGTGAAAGTTGTTGTTGCATCAGTAGTTTTTGTGGTATCAGGCATAGTTGTTGTTGGTTCATTAGTCTTCGATATTGATACTGTAGCTGGGGATGTTGGAGGGGTGGTTGTGGAACTCAAAGTTGTTGTTGCATCAATAGTTGTTGTGGTGTCAGGCATAGTTGTTGTTGGTTCATTAGTCTTCGATATTGATACTGTAGCTGGGGATGTTGGAGGGGTGGTTGTGGAAGTCAAAGTTGTTGTATCAATTGTTGTTGTGGTGTCAGACAGAGTTATGGTTGCTGCATCAGTTGTTGATGCTGGTGCTATAGTTGAGCATGTTGGACGGGTGGTTGTGGAAGTCAAAGTTGTTGTATCAATTGTTGTTGTGGTGTCAGACAGAGTTATGGTTGCTGCATCAGTTGTTGATGCTGGTGCTATAGTTGAGCATGTTGGACGGGTGGTTGTGGAAGTCAAAGTTGTTGTATCAATTGTTGTTGTGGTGTCAGACAGAGTTATGGTTGCTGCATCAGTTGTTGATGCTGGTGCTATAGTTGAGCATGTTGGACGGGTGGTTGTGGAAGTCAAAGTTGTTGTATCAATTGTTGTTGTGGTGTCAGACAGAGTTATGGTTGCTGCATCAGTTGTTGATGCTGGTGCTATAGTTGAGCATGTTGGACGGGTGGTTGTGGAAGTCAAAGTTGTTGTATCAATTGTTGTTGTGGTGTCAGACAGAGCTGTGGTTGCTGCATCAGTTGCTGATGCTGGTTCTATCGTTGAGGATGTTGGAGCAGTGGTTGTGAAAGCCAAAGTTGGAGGGGTGGTTGTGGAAGTCAAAGTTGTTGCATCAATTGTTGTTGTGGTGTCAGACAAAGTTGTGGTTGATGCATCAGTTTTTGATGTTAGAGGTGTGGAAGTGGAATCCAAAGTTGTTGTTGCATCACTAGTTTCTGTGGTGTCAGGCATTGTTGTTGTTGGTCCATTAGTTGTTGATGTTGGTGCTATAGTTGAGGATGTTGGAGCAGTGGTTGTGAAAGCCAACGTTGTTGTTGCATCAGTGGTTGTTGTGCTGTCAGACAGAGTTGTGGTTGTTGTATCAGTTGTTGATGTTAGAGGGGTGGCTGAGGAATTCAAAGTTGTTTTTGCATCAGTACTTTTTGTGCTGTCAGGCATAGTTGTGGTTGCTGTATCAGTTGTTGATGCTGTTGCTACAGTTGAGGATGTTGGAGGGGTGGTTGTGGAAGTCAGAGTTGTTGTTTTATCAATTGTTGCTGTGGTGACAGACAGAGTTGTCATTGCGGCATCCGTTGTTGATGCTGGTGCTATAGTTGAGGATGTTGGAGGGGTGGTTGTGGAAGTCAAAGTTGTTGTTGCATCAATTGTTGTTGTGGTGTCAGACACAGTTGTGGTTGTTGCATCCGATGTTAACACTGCTGCTTCAGTTGAGGATGTTGTAGGAGAGATTTTGGAAGCCAAAGTTGTTGTTGCATCAGTAGTTGTTGTGGTTCCAGAGAGAGTTGTTGTTGCTGCATCAGTTGTTGTTGACATTGGTGCCACAGTTGAAGATGTTGAAAGGGTGGTTGTGGTGGCAAATGTTGCTGTTGCATCAATACTTCTTGTGATGTCTGGCATAGTTGTGGTTGATGAATAAGTTGTTGATGCTGGTGCTATTGTTGAGGGTGTTTGAGGGGTTGTTGTGGAAGCCAAAGTTCTTGTTGCATCAGTAGTTGTTGAGATGTCAGTCAGAGTTGTGGTTGATGCATCAGTTGGTGATGTTAGAGGGGTGTTTGTGGAACCAAAAGTTTTTGTTGCATTACTAGTTTCTGTGGTGTCAGGCATGGTTGTTGTTGGTCCATTAGTTGTTGATGTTGGTCCTGTAGCTGAAAATGTTGGAGGGGTGGTTGTGGAAGTCAAAGTCATTGTTGCATCGATTGTTGATACTGATGCTATAATTGAGGATGTTGAAAGGGTGGTTGTAATAGCTAATGCTGTTGTTGCATCAGTAGTTGTTGAGGTGTCAGGCAGAGTTGTGGTTGGTGAATCAGATGTTGTTGAAGTTGGTGCTACAGTCAAAGATGTTGGAAGGTTGGTTGTGGAAGTCACAATCATTGTTGCATCAATTTTTGTTGTGGTGTCAGACAGAGTTGTGGTTGCTGCATCAGTTGTTGATGCTGGTGCTATAGTTGAGGATGTTGGAGGGGTGGTTGTGGAAGTCAAAGTTGTTGTTGCATCAATTGATGTTGTGGTGTCAGACCGATTTGTGGTTGCTGCATCAGTTGTTGATGCTGGTGCTATAGTTGAGGATGTTGGAGGGGTGGTTGTGGAAATCAAAGTTGTTGTTGCATCAATTGATGTTGTGGTGTCAGACCGATTTGTGGTTGCTGCATCAGTTGTTGATGCTGGTGCTATAGTTGAGGATGTTGGAGCAGTGGTTGTGAAAGCCAAAGTTGTTGTTGCATCAATTGATGTTGTGGTGTCAGACCGATTTGTGGTTGCTGCATCAGTTGTTGATGCTGGTGCTATAGTTGAGGATGTTGGAGCAGTGGTTGTGAAAGCCAAAGTTGTTGTTGCATCAGTAGTTGTTGTGGTGTCAGGCACAGTTGTGGTGGAAGCATCAGTTTTTGATGCTGGTGCTTTTTTTGAAGATTTATGAGGGGTGGTAGTGGAAGCCAACATTGTTTTTGCATCAGTAGTTGTTTTGGTGTCAGACAGAGTTGTGGTTGTTGAATCAGTTGTTGATGATAGTGGGGTGGCTGTGGAATCCAAAGTTTTTGTTGCATCACTAGTATTTGTGGTGTCAGGCATAGTTGTTGTTGGTTCATTTGTCGTCAATGTTGGTACTGTAGCTGAGGATGTTGGAGGGGTGGTTGTGGAAGGCAAAGTTGTTGTTGCATCAATAGTTGTTGTGGTGTCAGGCGTACTTGTGGTTGCTTCATCAGATGTTATTAACACTAGTGCAATAGTTGAGGATTTTGTAGGGGAGGCTGTGGATGCCAAAGTTGTTGTTGCATCAGTAGTTGTTGTGCTGTCAGACAGAGTTGTAGTTGATGCATCAGTTGTGGATGCTGGTGCTATTGTTGAGGATGTTTGAGGGGTGGTTGGGGAAGCCAAAGTTGTTGTTGCATCAGTAGTTGTTATGGTGACAGACAGAGTTGTGGTTGATGAT